TTTTTTCTTTCATATATTGCATGATTTGTTTTCGTGATGTGACATAAAATATCACTCAAAATGAGTGATTGTTATATCAGAATAAAAATTCACTAGCAGCATCTAACAAAGCCACAGAGGAAGCCACCTCAGCAATCCCTTACAAATTAGTCATATTCGAGACTCGAGAGGGGCTTGACTCTTGAGGATTCCACTACGAGTTCAGAGACTATGATCATCCTCGCCTCTGAGAGAATCCCCTACTTAAAGGGAACCTCTTGTATGTAAGTAATACATTGATGACAGACTTCTGGACCCGGAGGATATCAAAGCTCTGGTCGTTGTCCCCTTGCAGGGTGAGACTCGCAGAATAATTCGAGATATGGGAGGTCTTAAAGCACCAGGAAAAGATGGCTTCCACGCAATCTTTTATAAGAAGTGTTGGGAGATCATATGTGTTGACTTTCAAAAGCACATCATTCGGTGCTTTCAAGAACCAGAGCTCATCCGACTATGCAATGCCACCCTCCTATCCTTGATACCAAAAGTGGACAGCCCAAAGAATATGTCTCAGTTCAGATCAATTGGGTTATGCAATGTGAGCTACAAGGTGATATCTAAGTGCTTGGCTAACCGGCTTAAAGGCCTTACGCCATATTTGGTGGATGAAAACCAATAAAGTTTTGTACCTAAGAGACACATCAACGACAACATCATCATTCTCCAGGAAGTGATCCACACGATGTCTATGAAGAAAGGAGAATGTGGGCTCATGGTACTGAAGATTGACTTAGCTAAAGCGTATGACAGGATCAAACCCACTCGCGACCTCAGACAGGGATGTCCACTCTCACCCTATCTTTTTACTTTATGCATTGAAAGATTAAATCATTGTATTAAAGATCGGGTTAGCAAGGGGGTTTGGAATCCGATCTCTCTCTCAAAGGACGGTCCACCGCTTATCCACTTATTTTTTGTAGATGACTTAGTCCTATTTGTAGAAGCTAAAACCCAGCAAGCTAGATACATCAGGGACTGCCTGAACCAGTTCTGTGTGGCCTCTGGAGAACAAGTGAACAAGGAGAAGTCTTGTATTTTCTTCTCTAAAAACACCAAGGACAGCACTAAGGAGAGAATCAGCTAAATGACAGGCATCTCTGGCACCAATAACTTGGGAAAATACTTAGGAGTTCCTGTGATTCATGGTCGGGTCACCAATGGATCTTATAAGTATATCTTGGAGAACATTGACAAAAGACTGGCCAGTTGGAAAACTAAGAAGCTGTCTCTGGTTGGACGTGTTACTCTGGCGCAATGTAGTCAAAATCCCGATTTTAATCTTAAAATCTTACGATTTTACGATCTTACCTATGGGTTCCGATCTTGATTTTACTGTAAAATCTTTGAACCTTAAAATCCCATAAAATCCCGATTTAAAACTCTAAAATCCATAAAATCTACGATTTTGTACGATTTCAAGGTTCATATCAATTGGGTCAAAATTAGGCCATTCAAGTTGGGTTATGCCCATGAACCGAGTCAAATTTACTTTCCCCCAACCCAACATAATGAACAACACAACCCCAACCTGATAGTTGACCCTCAATTTATTTTCATTCTCTTCCTCGTATCTTCCTCTTTCGCACGTCGGCGCCCAACTCCTTCCATCAACGATATCTTCCACCCTCCCAATTAGCTTGTAGTTTGTTCCCACCACCCTCACAATAATCCAAATCTCCATTACATTGCAAGCTTTTGTTCATCTCCCAATCCTTTGGCACCACTAACCCGACCTTTTATCAATTAAGAAGGGAATGCATCAATCAATGAGTTATCTTTTCCAGATGATGGTAATCAAGGAAATATGGTTAATGGTGAAAGTACTTCAAGTGATCATAAGAGTAATGATATTAGTCCTTAAACAAATAAAAACGATGAGAGTGAGGGTGAGGTTGAGGATGATGACGATGATGTGTAAGTGATGTTAATGTTGATCCTAACGATCTTATGTGATTTTCTACTCTTAACAATTAATTAACGTTAATATCTATAATGTTTCAGGTTTCTTATTTGTGTGTTTCTATTATGTACAAGAAAAATATATGGATTAGTTGTGTTTGTTTAGCAAACAAACATATCTTGGGAAGTAATTATGCTTTATGTATTTGATTGTTATTCAAGATATGCATTTTTATTACTATCTAGTGTTTTAAGTATTTATTTTAATATGAACCTTAAAATCTTACGATTTTACGATTTTAATCTACGATTTCGATTCTACCTCAGTTTTCGATTTTACTTAAAATCCAGATTTTGACTGCATTGCTCTGGCGGTGTCGGTCTTGAATGCACTTCCTAATTATGCCATGCAAAATGTTGTCTTACCTATTTCTGTGTGTAATAATATTGATAGGAAAATAAGGGCGTTCATTTGGGGTGCAGAGGAGGGCAAATTTAAAGCTCACCTTGTTCGTTGGGAGACCATCTGCAAACCCAAGGAAGAAGGAGGCCTTGGTCTTCGATCAGCTCGAGCCCTTAACTTTGCCTATATGATGAAATTGTGTTGGTTGTTTAAGAATAACGAGAATGACTTGTGGGTTAGAGTTTTGCAGGGGAAGTATGTCAAGAGTAATAACGATGGTAGTGTAGCCTTTAGACAAAATCGTACATCTAGACTTTGGAAAGGCATTAGAGAAGCCATGCCCACCTTGAAACAAGCAATTGTGTGGGATATTCGCAATGGTGCCAACGTCAAGTTCTGGATGGACCCCTGGCTTGCAGACGGAACTATCCTTAATGACCATGTGATTGTTGGAGATATTGGTGTAAACCGAGAGGCTCTTGTTGCTGATATGACTACTACTACTACAGGTGAGTGGTGTCGGGAGGAGTTCAACGAACACTTAGCTGACTCTATTTTATCCTTGATTGCAGGAACTGACCCGCCCAATACTGAGCTGGGAAAGGACATGACAACATGGGGGCTGGAGCAAAATGGCGAGTTCAGCTTACGACTTACAAAGCGGCCAATGAATGGCTACAGGATACGGTAGATGAGGAAGCTGGTGGTGACAACCAGCCACCTTGGAGCAGTATTGGAAATGGCAAGGACCAAACCGCATCCGGCATTTCTTGTGGCTGGCTACCCATGACCGACTCATGACTAATAGCGAACGAAAGCGACGAAAACTTTGCACCTCGGATGTTTGCGACTTGTGCAAGCAGGCGCCGGAGACAACAGATCATCTGCTCAGAAATTGTCCACACACACAGCAGATATGGTAGAGACTGGGCCTTATTGAAACTAGTCTTAATCATGCTCTGGATCTTGCAGGCTGGATGTCAAAGCATCTAAAGGATTCACAGACTGGTCTCCTATTTGGGATTACTTTATGGTACATTTGGAAGCGGCGAAACGAATGGGTCTTTGAGCACAAACAACATGATGCAGCAACTCTAGCTTATCGCATACCATGCTGGCAGCAGACGGTTCTCAATGCCCAGGCAGACAATGACAAAATAAGACTTAAACAACCTACAAAAACTATCCAGCAGCTTGCTTGGGAAAGGCCACGACAAGGATGGATTGTGGTGAATACAGATGGATCATTCAAGCAACCATATTCAGCGGCAGCAGGCGGCCTCATAAGGAATAGTGAAGGGAGATGCATTGCAGCCTTTGCATCAAATCTAGGCATTGGTTCCATCACCAGAGCAGAAATCAAAGGGGCCATTACTGGGCTCCAAATGGCGTGGGAACTCAGCTTCAAGAAGGTCATTTTGAACATTGATTCATCGGCAGCACTCCTTATGTTGACTTCGACGGATGGGAGAAGAAACAAGTATTAGAAACTCATTGCCCAATTCCAGGAGTTACTTCGGAAAGATTGGGAAGTTCAAACTTCTCATATTTTCAGAGAATGTAATAAAGCGGCGGATTACCTCGCTAACAAGGGTCATTCTATTAGTCTAGGAACTCATACGATTGATTTATCGGATCTTGGGTTGAACTTTTGGATCTTGTATGACATTATGGGCCCAAAATCGAGTAATTTAAGTGTCAAGTAGGGACGCCCTTTTAGCGTCCGATCTACCAAAAAAAAAACATTGATGACAGGATACAAATTTCAACCGCCACCTTCGGAGAGCTTAGTGAGACCTAGGGGTGTCCATTCGGGTTCTGTTTTTTTTTTTTTTTAACTGAAACCGAACCAATTAGATACATTGTCAGTTTTTTGGGTTCGAGTTTGTTTCAGGTTTTGAGTTTTTTTGGTTTTGGGTTCGATTTAGCTTATTGGTTTTTTGTGTTTCGGCTGAAAACCCTCAAGGAATAGCAGTTGGTCCATATTCTTAGGGCTTCGGTGTTCGAATTTGCTTTAACCAAACTCGAACCCAATAAGAAATTTTCGGGTTTCAGGTTCAATTTTTCAATGATTTCAGGTTTTATCGGGCTTCAGTTCGATTAACCGAACCCAACCCGAACAGACACCCCTTGAACTGAGACCTAGAAAACAGGCAATGCTTCCCAAAGTGTGTTTGACAATTATTGCTGGTATGTGAAGAAACGAGTAAACTGAAAGTAGGAGTGAGTATATGTAGAGTTTGGCTAATTATTTGCTTTGCCTTCCTAAATACGTACGACTGTACGAGTCCACTCACCGCCGCTCCCTAAGCCTACTTTCTGTAGCGCGTCTTGGTACTCTTCCAACGCTATACAGAGAATGGAACCAAGTACCAACCCTTTCATGTTGTTGGCCTACAGACTATATCACTCTTATACAAGCACTAAAATTTCCAAAGCGGCTTGCACCGTCGTTGATACCTGCAATCTTTAACACTTAGCCCACCAAATAGATAAACAATGAGCATTGCAGGCAGCACATGGACCAAACTCATAAAACCAGAGGCCTTCAAGGCGTAACCATAAGCCGGAATGAGCTTCAAGAAAAATCGGCTCATAACAGAACAGGTCTCATGCTTCTTCTCCTCAGATGGAAAGCAACGGTCGACCAATCTCTCTCTTAGCTGGAACTGCTGAAAACGAGAGTCTTCCCGAGCAAGAACGTAACAAGAGTGAGCTCGATGAAGAAGATTGTGTTCAAGAGTCCACGATCAACAGTCCATCCAAATATCGTTATTCCTCCCGGATTGTTCTGCAAATACAACACTGGGAGATTCCATAGGTTCCCAGATTATTATAAACAGAAACCTACCGTCAGAGTGGCATAAATACACAACATAACTGTCAGATGCACAAATCAAGAGCAATGCATCCAATCGTCCAGTTGATGCAGCAAAAAGTACAGATAGAGAGTTACACAGACACCACAATGACAAATTCTAGGGACATATTTTCAGCATCGACAAACAGAACTATCAGAGATTATGGAGTCTTTTGGTAACTAATAAGATTTCAGAAAGCATGAATTTTCATCAATGTATGTATTTTGAATATGAAATAGTAAGAAAAGAGTCTTTATCAAAATATAGTGGTCAGACAGGATTATTAATTATATATTTTCATGTGATTTAACACGAGTTCGAAATAGAAGACACATGGGTCCGGCATACATGGTTTCAACTCAGGAAAAAACAATGCATACAAAGAGGATATATGTTTCTAACGGCAGAAGAAGGATACCAAATCTATATTAAAAACACATCAATTGCAAACACGTTTACACATTTTGCAGTCAGTATAATGCAACCCAACGTTAGTTCTTATACAATGAGATATGCAGAAACAGAAATTGAACTTACCAAAGGCTTGCCTCCTGTGGTATGAGGTCATATAGGAAGCCAATTGTGTGTTTGTAGGCACCGCAATGTAGTCAAACGACTCCAAATCACTCTCTGAATAGCTAACTTGTAACGCATTTGTCGGATATCCCGATGGATCTGAGCTCCCATTGGCAGTAGCATTGCAAGTTGCCAAAGCATGCCACCGGCTCGCCAAGCAAGCAATAGCTTGAGCCCTGTGGGATATTCTAGTGGCAGCATGCAAGGAAAGAATTATTCCGACTACCTGAACAATTGAGGACACCTGAAAAATAGTCGGAGAAGTCATGACAATGAAAATCCGGCTGCTAATCAGCAAAGTTGCTAGTACAGCAAAATTTTCACATGTACCACAAAATCAGGAGCGTTGGTGTTAGCTAACCAATTAGCCTGTAAAAACCATAAGCCAAAACACAGTTTTCCCAACTTATAACAACTACTCTGATGTACCCCCAAAACTAAAAGCCACTTCACCAAAAACATATCATTTCCTACTCTACCCATTAGGAACAACATTCGCTTCTTAAAGTTACATCCATAATAGTCAATCTTCCACAAAGGACTACTTACCATTCCATCAATTACTCTTTCATTACTAAAACATGTCTCGTAGCCCCATAAACATATCAGTTCTTCACTCAAAAACTATAAAAAAAAAAAAGGAACTTAACGAAAAGCTAGCGCAGCAAAAGGCTTACCACAAAATCGCCACCATTAATGACGGTGATTATCCCGCTATAACCCGTAACCTGAAAGAGGGTCATGAACTGGCTAGCCGTAACCACAATGAACTGCAGAACAAGGAAGATGCGGAACCTATGGCTTATCTTAGAAAGATTATATCTTAGACGGATGTGTTCCTCAATGAATACCAGAACGTCGGATTCCCTCTCCAAGAGCTTCCCGTAGTCCTCGAAGTGGATCACTTGTAAGTTGCATACCATGTGAAATATGACGCTGGCCGATAAAGATATTGTGCTCACATAACTCCACGATAAGATTAAGCCGAACAAAATGGCGGAAGAGGATAGCCATGATTCGTGTTTTACATAAGAGATACGAATCACTTCGCGAGCAACCTTCAGAATGAAACATGGCAGTGACCACAGGACGAGCAAGCGCAAAGAATCCTGCAAGAACATGACAACCAAAGAATGATAAGTGCAATTTTGTAGTACTCTTAAGATAAGCAAGTCATTAACAGCTTTTCCTCCTGTGGTAATTCAATTTCAGATTTTTTGGGAATAAATTCAAAAATTACTTTTGAAAATGATTTCTGGTTTTATGCTTTGGAAGGAGACGGGAACGAATGCCCACAGGCACTTCTACAAATTCAAAAACAAATTTTGGCTTTGTGCTGTGTAAAGGTGGATAAAACAAGCAAATGAATTGTAAACCCTTTTAAAGATTTGTCAGGACTTCGAAACTGTGTTTTTGCCTCCTAGAATTCCACTTCTAACAATTCCTGTCGATCCAAACCTAGAGATCATGAAAAGTTCAGGACAATAAAATTCCACTTGAGATTCTGGGTTTTCCAAACAGGGAGTAAGAAGTTGAAAACCAGATGTTTGACAGAAGACTCGAGTACTATTTTCCATATCTAGAAACCAATCTGTACTTGAAACAGAAAGATGACATTGTTACTATAAAAAGCTTGCATCATTGTAGACCTAAATTCTACTTGAGAATAACGAACAGCAAAAGATCGAAATTCAAAAACCATACACCAACACAACCCTCACCTACAAGTTCTAACCTTTATCTGGGCAATATACTGGCGGCTAAGGCGAGTCATCTGCCCGCTATAACGATCAACAAACAGAAACTTCTTTACACCATACTTCCTCATGTTATGAGACAGACAAATCAAAGAGACAGCAGCAAGACAAGCCTGTGAAGCCACAATATCCAGTTCGGAATTCTTGATCTGGAACTTCTCGCAGCCAGGGCAGTTGGATAGCTCAAGTATTATAACTGGCAGAGCTACCCCAACCAATCCAAAAGCTGCCCAAGAAAAAAGGAAGCTACAGACCGAAGATTGACTGAAACCCAGAAAACATAAGAAAGTTTCAAGCTTCAGTAGTGTCTGATCAAGATCATCGTCTTGAGTCGAGAGAGTTTCTCGACGATGATTGTTTTGATTGTAGTTGTTGTTGTTCTGGGTGAAATTGAGAAGAGGAGTGATGGGCTCTATCTGCAATAGTGTTTCGGGAACAGGGGGAGGAGGAGGAAGAGGAGGAAGAAGATGAGGATCAGCCATGGATTACTGTAGTAGGAGAACCCAATTGGCTTAGGAAATTATGAGATATGGGTTCAATAGAGCTACGGATCTAGATGGCAAAATTTGAAGATCGAGGCTAAATCAATGGAGTTGCGTTTGACAGGACTTTCTTGTGATAGAACCTATGCTTTGTCTTTCCCTTCTCACGGGCTCTAACAGGTTCATGAATAAAGTATCACTAAAATATTTCAACCAGAAGTTCTCTCTAATAAGCCTCTAGAAAAAACCCACATCAACAGCCAAAGAAAAAATAGATATTCTAAATTGTCAAAAAGGTTTATTCTTTCTCTTTCATTGAAATTTTCAGCAAACTTACCAGAAAGGTCAATTCATCACGTCTTTTGCCTCGCAAAGCCGCAATTCCCTACCTTTTGATTTGAGTTTCCATTAAGAAGTAAAGCTGGCTCTGTGCATTAATTCGACAATTTCTCAAATGATGGGGAGCCAAGGGGACATGAAGAACGAGTAAATCACTCACCTTTCTCAAAAAATTTCATATTCTTTTCACGACAACTACCCTTTCGATTACTTCTATGGTCTTCTATTTATCACTATTATAATGAACAGTGCTTGAATGTACTTTGACCCTGCACTGCGTACAGGTTTTCTCGTGACATTATTTATTGGGTTAATACCTTAATTTGGCCCGCACTATAGACAAACTTTTTACATTGGCCTGTGGTATCGGAAATTGCTATCCTGACCTAAACTATGTAGTATACTTTCTTATTTGGCCCGGAGGCGGGTTTGACCGTTAAATTAGACGGTCAACTCAGTCAAAGTCCACCTCACTTGCCACGTCAGCTATCAGGGAATAAACAATTAATTTTTTAATTTTGAATTTTGTTTATTTTCTAACAATAAAAATAATAAACGAAAAAAATTAATTAAAAGAGCTCTCCAAATTATTTTTAATTAATTTAAGAAATTAAACAAATTTCAAAAATTCAAAAATAATAATTTTTTATTTTCTGATAGCTGACGTGGCAAGTGAGGTGGACTTTGACTAACGGTAAACTCGGTTGACCATCTAATTTGACGGTCAAATCCACCTCCGGGCCAAATAAGAAAGTATGCTACATAGTTTAGGTTAGAATAGCAATTTCCTATACCACAGGTTAAAGTAGAAAGTTTGTCTATAGTTCGGGTCAAACTAAGGTATTAACGCTTACGGGTTGTTTGGATGCATCATTTTGGTTCTATGGTATTTCGAATCCTAATGATGCATTATTTTGCTATGTGGCATTTCATGTGGTATTTCATTTTGAAATGTGGTAATTGGTGTAATTGTCTTGTTTGGATAAAACTTCAAATATTGTGGTATTTCACCACTTAAAGAAGAGATGAAGTGAAAAAAGAAGTTGGGAGATGAGGTATTTGAAATAACTAGGGGGTGGGTAGGTATTTCAAATAACTCACAATGAGTTATTTCAATTGACTCATGGACAAAATACCACATTCTACTTTATTTTTGCCAAACGAGTTATTTTGATTGAAATATCTCATTCTAAGTTATTTCGACCAAATTATCTCATCAAAATACTGCATCCAAACTACCCATTATTTATTCTCATTGTCAGCTGAACGACAAAAGGCAACTACATAAAAAAAAATGTCCTATAACGAATCGAGCAAATTAAACCAATAATGGCAAGGGTTTCGAATCTTTTGGCCGTCTCCATCTCGTAACTACTACCAAATGATGAATTTAAACCAATGAATTTAGAAGCAAGTACCTGAGCTGAATGTTGCCAAGAACTTCCCTTTGGTTTGTTCCTCTGCTACAGTGAATGCTTGGTAATGGTTGGTCTTGGCTTCCTGGAGTTAATGACAGTCGGTCTCAAAGACGACGATAATGTAGTTTCAGCAACGTCCCCCATTGTCGTCGGCAAAAATAATCCCTAAACTACACGTTACGACGATGAGGACAAAAGCAATTGAGACAACAAATCGGTACCAGTCTCTGTCGTGGGGGCTTTTCATCTTCTACTAGTAGTCTAGGACACTTCGTGCAATCCGTCGGCAAAAGAATCAATTACTCGCTCCATTTCCACAATGCCTTCGCAGATGTCGCGAAACCCTAACGCTCCGCCGCCAATCGATGCGAGGAGCGGATTCTGTCCGGAAACCAAGATCTATCACAGTCTCAGATCTCCGGTGCCACTCCCACAAGAAACCGCGCTGCTCTCCGTCACTGATTACGTCTTCTCTCTCATCAATTCCTTCCCTCCGCCACCGACAGTCTCAGCTCTCGTCGACGGCGACACCGGCCGCCGCATCTCCTCCTCCCAACTCATTTCGCGAACCGAGTCGCTCGCTTCCTCCCTCCGCCGCGAACTCGGCCTCAGAAAGGGAGACGCCGCTTACATCCTTGCTCCCAACTCGGTCAACATACCGATCCTCTACCTCTCCCTCCTGTCCCTCGGCGTCGTCCTATCGCCAGCCAATCCCGCGAGCTCGGAGCGCGAAATCCTCCACCAGCTCCAGCTGTCCAAACCTAGAATCGCGTTCGCGACATCTGCCGTCGCGCACAAAATTCCTCCCACCATCAAAATCGTCCTCCTCGACTCCCTCGAGTTCGAGTCGCTCGCGGCGGAAACCAGATCTGGAGAATCCGAACCAAGAACCTCCGTCTCCCAATCCGATCCCGCGGCGATTCTGTACTCTTCCGGAACCACCGGAGCTACCAAAGGAGTGATTCTCACTCACCGTAACTTCACCTATACGGTGGCCCTAGGTCACGCCGTTCGGACGGCGAGGAAAACGCCGGCGGTGGTCCTGGCGACGGTGCCGTTCTTTCACGTGTACGGGTTCGTGTTCGCCGTGCGAGCTGTTGCATTGGGGGAGACAGTCGTGTCGATGGAGAGAGTCGAGATGAGGAAAATGCTAAAGGCGATTGAGGACAATCGGATTACCCACGTGGCCGCAGCGCCACCGCTCGTTGTCGCGATGGTCAAAGAAGACAGGAAGGTAGTGGACGGCTACGATTTGAGCTCCCTGGAAGTTGTAGCGTGCGGTGGCGCCCCACTCGGGAGAGATGTTGCCGCGCAGTTGACCGCGCAATTCCCAAGGGTGTCGCTCGTCCAGGTAAAGGCGCGCAGTGTCGGTATATGTACATCAAATTACTCTTTTAATTAAGGATGGCAAAAATATTCGTAACCGTGGATATCCGCCCAAATCCGACCTAATGGGGTAGGGTGAAACTCGAACCCGAAGCATTTTCGTGGGTACGGGTAAAACCCGAACCCGAATATTGCGGGTAATGGGTGGGCATGGTTATCTCACTATTCAACCCGAACTCGCCCGATTATACACATGCATATGTATATTGTCTAGAAATAATCATTATGTTTCTCTAGAATATTTTATATTTAACATATAAATATAATATTTTCATGAAATTATGTTGTTTTAATTAATTTTTGTCATTCTAGTAAATTATTGTCGTACTTTTCCTCTTACGTGAAGTGAGTATACGTGTGAATGTTAACATATTGGTTGGAATTATAAAGAGAAATTATTACCCATGGATAACCGTGGATACCCAAAACCCGAATGGGTATGGGCATGGTTTTGATTTTCTACCCGTTTCTCGTGCGGGTACGGGTATGGGTAAAACCCGAACTACATTGGGTAGGGTAACGGATATGCACTATCCGCCCCCGACCCAACCCATTGCCATCCCTACTTTTAATCCTTGAAAATTTTTGGTAATGTTAAAGAAAAAAAACGGATCGTATTTTCATTAACATTTTTATTGCAAAAGAAAAAAAAATTGATAAAGAGAGACTGCAACATAAAATGGACGGTGTTGATGAAACCACGCAGGCTTACGGGTTGACAGAATCGACGGGGAGGGTGTTCTCAACAGTGGGACCCACGGAAAGCAAGGTGGGAGGTGCAACAGGGAAGCTGACTCCCGAAACCGAAGCGAAAATCGTTGATCCTGAAACTGGAATCCCTCTGCCCCCAGGAAAAGGTGGAGAGATTTGGGTTAGAGGGCCATCCATTATGAAGGGTAATTGCTTAATCGATGTGATATTTTACTTAGTGGCCAGATTCGGGTTCTTGGTGAACTTCTAATTAAGGTCATTAGTTAATACTCTGAACAAGCTTCAAATCCTTGTTAAACTGCAGGTTATGTAGGTGATGAAGAAGCCACAGCCAGAAGTTTGGATGCTGAAGGGTGGTTGAAAACAGGAGACCTTTGCTACATTGACGACCAAGGTTTCCTATTTGTGGTGGACAGGATCAAGGAACTGATCAAATGCAGAGGCTATCAGGTTTGGTATCACATCATATTAATTAATTAGCATCTTTCAGAATCATTTAAGGTCGAAAGTGGGTCAACGTGTGTAAAACCACCGAAACTTTATGAAAACTAGATGGATGGTCAGTTAGTCGGTACCCTTTCTGGCGAACTACATACCGTGTTATTTTTTGTATGGATTTGATTGGATCAGGTCGCGCCATCTGAGCTCGAGCATTTGCTTCAGTCCCATCCAGATATACTCGAGGCAGCTGTGGTCCCGTGAGTTAACATTTGAGTTTGTAAACAAGTTAACCATGTAATGTAAATGAATAGAGAGTGAAGAGGTTCTGGTGCTGAATTTTTTTTGGCAGATTGCCTGACGAGAGAGCAGGCCAAGTTCCCATTGCATTTGTGGTAAGGCAGAATGGAAGCACCATTAGTGAGCTGCAGGTCAAGGAGTATATTGCAAAGCAGGTACCTTCCATTCTTCGTGTTAAAAGAGCTCTGCTACCATCTTATGATTTCAAAGGAGTCAATCATTTGATGATGAACAGTAAGGACTAAGGAGTCAATCATTTGGAACCTTTTCAACAGTGATCAAGTTATCTTCTTCGTGTTTCTTTTCTTGTAGGTTGCACCATACAAAAGACTACATAGAGTACTATTCACTGAATCCTTGCCAAAGAATGCTCAGGGCAAGTTGTTGAGGAAAGACTTGACAAGACTAGCAATGTCGCCCGCCAAGCTATAAAATAATCACCTTCCTGTTTGCTAGACTGTTTAGTGGAATTCAAAAATGTTACTGCTTCATCTATAGATTATTGGAAATGATCCTTGTGCTTAAGAGATTGTGAAATATTTGCTCCTTGAAATGAATCCCAAAACATGCTAAAGTTTATGAAATTCATCAAAATGAAGGTACTGAATCTCTACCCTTGTAAGATATAGAAAAAGTTGCAGAAAGACATGGGTTTTTTTTACTGAATCAATGAAATCTCTAAATTCATCCTCCAAATCTCATTCTCCAAACAATCCCTCAAGTCAAGTCCATTGGTATTTCTATTATCGATCTCGATAGATTGTGAAGCTCAATTCCACAATTGCGATTTTTTGTTTCATGCATCAACCTTCCATTTTTAAAGGCTTAATTGCAAGTTTGGTCACCCGAATTGCTTAAAAATTTCACGTTTGCCACCCGAATTGATTTATTCCATTTATAGTCACTCGAATTAGTTCAACAGTCCAAGTTCGGTCACTCTCCGTTAACCTCCGTTAGACTCCGTTAATGACGGCCGTTAAGTGATGACGTGGCTAACAGAAATACACAGTCAGCACATTTAAACATTAAAAAAAGACGACCCGACCCGACCCGACCCGCCAAATCAGCCTTACCCGCCAACTCAGCCTTACTTGCCCAACCCAAGAACCAACCCAATTAATTCACCCTAAACCCAGACCCGAGACCCAACCCCCCTGAAAATTAAATCGCAGATGGATTAGGGAAATGCCCTAACTCCATCTTCATCCTCTCACCCGCGACTGCTGTTCTTCCCGCGACTGTTGTTCTTAACTCCATCGAGAATCCCGCTGGAGAGGGCAGCAAAGATCGGTTTCAAAGGGTCCAATTGCGGGCCGACGGAGCCAAACCAGGAGACGGGTAGGCCCACGAACAGAGCGAAAGACGCGCCGGTGACGAAAAGGCGGGAGCAGTACTCGACGATGTCGCCGGAGGCCCAAGAGAAAGGGAAGGAGGTGGAGAGGCTCTGGTACTCGTTTATGGGTTGCTGATCGACAGGGACAGGGCACCCTGTTTCTGGAGCATCGCTTCCGTTTCTGAACGACGCTGAGGGCGCTATCCGGCGGGTAGACTTGGTGCCGCGGCGGAGACGAGTGGGTTGGGGAAATTGGAAGCAGGCGTTTGAAGGGATCGTAGTTGTCGTCGGAGAGTGGAAGAGATTTGGCCGCAGCGGCGGCGGTTGGAGTTTCGGTGAAGGGTGGAAAAGGACCAGCGTCTCCATTGATAATCCCCTTTGTCTGGCCGGAAAAATCCGCTTCTGTGTATTTGATTTTGAACAGCAGTCGCGGCGCGGCGGCGGCCTCCATCCCTTCTACGGCGATTCTCGATGGAGTTAAGAACAGCAGTCGCGGGAAGAACAACAGTCACGTGAGAGGATGAAGATGGAGTTAGGGCATTTCCCTAATCCATCTGCGATTTAATTTTCAGGGGGGGTTGGGTCTCGGGTCTGGGTTTAGGGTGAATTAATTGGGTTGGTTCTTGGGTTGGGCAAGTAAGTTTGATTTGGTGGGTCGGGTCGGGTCGTCTTTTTTTAATGTTTAAATGTGCTGATTGTGTATTTCTGTTAGCCACGTCATCACTTAACGGCCGTCATTAACGGAGTCTAACGGAGGTTAACGGAGAGTGACCGAACTTGGACTGTTGAACTAATTCGAGTGACTATAAATGGAATAAATCAATTCGGGTGGCAAACGTGAAATTTTTAAGCAATTCGGGTGACCAATCTTGCAATTAAGCCCATTTTTAAATCACTTGGAAATGTAACCCTTTTTGGATTTTACATCCATCCACAGAACCAGAAGATCAACAGACCTCTCTCATACTCTATATAATCACCATTCAGACCTTTCCTCACTTTTCTCACATTTTTCACCGAGCAATAAGAATCCAAGCCCCACAAGGATTCCTAACAATTCAAAGCCAAAAACCTCATTAAATGGAAATGCTATTAGGGATCCCACGACCTGTAACACCTGGTCCTGAACTTGGAAGCAATAGCTCATAAGGAGGCACACCAGCTCCACTTCTATTCTTCATCCTCACATCCTTGTTCCTCAAATTTATAATCTTTTCAATCTCTTCCATTCGATCGGCAAACCCTTTGTACAGTTTCTCCACTTCCTCGTTACCAATCCAATGGCTGCTATAGGCCCTCGCCGCCTGGCCCAAATACTCCTCATCCACCGAGTGAGTCGACAGTGTATCCTGCACCGCCATCACTTTAGTGGCCTGGAGCTTAGTTGGCAAAGAAGACAAGAAAAACCTTTGAGGGTTGACCAAGAACTTCTCGTAGTCAGGCTGATCGTCCTGAGGCATCAATCTCCGCAGCAGGGTAGGGCGGTTTGGGACGTACCCTCCGAAAGGGTACTGCCCGAAGTTGATGGCTGCATGCTGCCCTGATGCGGTCCAGATGATCGTGGTTAGTATCGAGGATAAGTCGTGAGTTGTGTCGAGTTTAGGCCACCATGCCTCGTTCTTTTTGTCAGCATGGCCTTCGTTTCTGATCTCGTCCCACCACGACTGGAGCTCGAAATCTGATTTGACTGAGTAGGGTTCGGGGTAGAAGTGGTTCACATAGGGTTCTACTAGGTCTTGGATGGCTGACCAGATCAAGAGCCCGTCTGAGGCGTAGGGGTAGTCTTCGATCACTAGTCTCACTCCACTCGGCGTCGAGGGATCTTCCACTGCCATGCCCCTGAAAAGTGTAGGAGGATTTTCTGCATCATAACTTTCTGATACCGTACAAGGATACACATGGTACTAGATTGAAGCTCACCTTCGAAGGAGATCAGCAGGCAATGCTTCCATATCGAACCGCCACATTGCCTTATAGGCTGCAGAGCTAACCTCCATTGCATGCTTGCCAGGGCTGAATGAAGCCTCAATGATCCCTCCACCGTTGATCAAGCTTTGACGAGCAAGGGCATTGATCTCTAATGTGTAACGCAAATGGGGATCGAGCAGCTTGTAGATCGGATGCATGGCGCTGAGCTGCCTGTTGGTCGCAATTATGTAAGGCTCCATGCAGGCATGGGTCCTCAACCTTAAAATAAAATTTTCCAATGAAACAAGCAGAGTCCATCAGTCCAAAGGAAACTTCGATTTGAGGTGGTGGACTCCTATGTAAAGGAAGCCCTCTATCACTTCAGTTACAGATATGAAAATTCTAGGATTCGAGTGGTAGAATGTACTGTGCATGGAATGTTTGATATAACATGATTTGGTTCGGCTGTAATTATAGAAAAGTGATTAATAAAGCTGGAGAAAGAATGTCAATTGAATCACTTTCTTACCAATGGCTCACTAGCTGATGAACGCCAGAATCATTAGTACAAACATGAGCCTTGGCCAGCTTCCACAACCAGTGACTAGTAGCGTCATGGCCACGAGTGTAAACCCTTTTGCTTCCACCTGAGGAAGAAGTTGGAGGAAGAGAAAGCTCAATGGCTAATGGCCTCAGAACGCCAGTATTGGTGTGGTAGAAAACTGTTCTAGTTGCGTAACTTTTGCTCCCAGGCAAAGAGTTTATCTTCTCCACAAATGGCAGAAGCATGTCATGGTAATCCAGAATGAAGAGCCTTTTCTCCTCCATGGCCTGTTGTATCAAATATGGAATCAGGGGTATCTCTCATGTTTCTATTGATTGAACGAGAAGGTGTGTTCCCAATGAAGGGGAATATACATACCTGCTCTAAGCTCATTTCATGGAGATCTTCTTCAAGTACTTCCTTTGTTAGAGAGGACTCTGGAGGGCCATAAATTTCAGGGTCGAGCTTGCTCACGATAGGGAATTCCTGCAGCAAATAAAGGTTATAGTGCGGCGAATTCAATATCTCATACCGCTGGAACTTGAAATTGACGTAAATCTTACCCTTAGAAGCTCAATGATGACTGGATTAACCCCGGCCAATGTTTGGCGGGCAAATTCGATGTCTCGCAGCCATGAAAACCTATCCACTGAAGACCCCAAACAACCATCAAATCCCAGAGAAGTCATAAAATCAATCAAGCAGTATAATACTGAAAAACAGAGTTGTCCTGTTTTCAGACTTACTTTTGATACCAGCAGGGGTATCATACTTCATCATCTTATGTCCAGCGTTCCAAATCTGATTCACGAACTTGGCCAGGAACCCAGTTGTTCCTTTCGGTCCAGGTCGGATCAGGAACCCATCGTTGAAGAGCGTGTCGATGTCGGAGAAGCAGATGAAGGGAATATCGCAATCGGACAACGAGGCAGATATCGACGGGATCAAGTTGTGAAGGACGGCCTTCAGCCTGCCAGCTGCGAAAGCAGCTTGTTTTGTCTCCTCAAAGGCTTCGTCTCGCGGCACGTAGACCGGATGCGGCTTCTCGATTCTGCTCTCTGAGAGTTCATCTGAAAGAGGGGGGAAAACAGAGCTCCAGAAGCAATTATCAAACTGAAGGCGGGAACTTTTTATCAGGAAGGAAGAGGGAATTTACCTGTTTTGGTTGGAGGCCGGCCAGTTCTGCAGCGCCTTGGATAAGGGAATTCATGGCTGCCGCCAATAACAGGCCTTACGAGATCTTGGTCGGAGTCAGGATTACCCAAGTCATTGTAAACGTCATAGTCGAAGATTCTGTCGTGCATCTTTCTCTCGCCCTTTCCATTCCCGCGGACGCTGAGCAAGTCCTCCCGCCTCAAGTCTTTGATTCCAGGTGGGGTTTGCGCGGGAAGATACGCCTGTGGAGAAATTAAAAGCGATCAGACAAAATGGTACATCTTTGTGACCAAAACTCTGCAGCTTGAAAATTATCGAGATTGGAATAGAAACTGAGAGCGTAGTCTAGGCGGCGACTCACCTTGTTCCTAAAGATGATTCTGCTTTCAGGATTGTCGTGCCTGGAATGGATCCAAGTGTTTGCAGGGAAGACATAAGGGCCTCCACCATTGAAACCATGAACCACAATCTCCTGCAAGAAGAATTCGCTTCCATGGAGATTGGTGATGAAAACAGCTCCTGGAGTTCCGAAGTCTTGGGGGACTTTGAACTCTGCTGCGTATTCCACTCTGTAAGGGTCAACTGATGATTTGGGCAGCCAGCCTCTTACCCTAGATTCTGCATACTTTCCTGAGTTGGTCTCTGCCAGAAGATAAATTAAGAAACCAACATGAATTTCAATTCTGAGATACTGCAACAAAGCAAAAAAGGGGATAGAAGAAAACTAATAATTACCAGGGTCAATTTCCTCGCTAATGAGTTGAATGGAGATCCCATGACCAAGACCATTGAGAAAATGCTCCAGTTGATTTCCAATCCTCTCAAGTACGTTCTCCTTCATCTTCTTCCTTACGGTAACTACTGCCTTTACAGAAACTTGCCTATTTCCATGATCATCAGTAGAAGCCAGAGGAGGAGCTCCTTTGACCAGCAAAGTAGTAGAAGAAAAAGAATCACTGTCTTCTGCGCGGCTAATCGCTGCCCGGATGAACGAACCGCCAGGGTACCTGGCCTGTGATCCGGGAACCACTTGGGTCATCCGCTGAATCAGAGTATTACCTCCAGCCGCACGGCCACCTATCACCGGCGGGAGGAGATTGGATGCTGACATTGGAGATGTTAGCGTCTTCTGCTCAACAATAGCGAGTATTTAGATCCCTATGTTGAGAAAGATAAGTTTGAGGCTGAAACTGAAAGCTGTGCAACTTTCTCTTATAGTACTTGAGGTACTTCTGGGTATTAAGAATTATATTCAAGTGGACTCACAGGAACATTCATAAAGAAGAAGAAGAAAATTGGACTTGAAGAACACGTTGAATATTATAGTGTTTAATCCAACTGCAGTCCTCGATTTGAAATAACAGTGTAAGACTGGAGTTACTTGGACTATAGAAATGATAAAGCGTAAAATTATCAAACCTCAAACAAAGCTGTATTTTCTCCACTTGCTCCTTTTTAACCGTGCTTATAAATTTTCTATGTATCTGGGTCTTGAATCTAATCAAGGGCTATTATTTTAAAAAAAAAAATTCCTTAACGGTGTTTAACTTAAGGGGGCATGTCCTATATGTAGGTGTATTCATCGGTAGTTCAATTCGATATAGCTCTCCTAAGAAGGGCAGGAGGCCTTATTCATATATAAGCAGAATGGAAAAGGAAACATGATTTCAGACTTTCAGTGACCCATGGTAATGAAGGGAGATGGTGTCCTACGAGGGGTAGGAGCTTTTCTATAAGCACAAGTGAAAAAGGAACACCAAACCAAATAAAAGGTTCTCTGTGCTCTGCTAAAGATAGATCTAAACAGATATAAATAAACATTAAAGGTTCTAAGCCTTCTACAGATCCCATACAGTTTCCAAAGGATCCTGCAATCATGCAAGTTTATTTGGGCTCGTGAATATTTAATATATCTACTAGTCTGCAGCACATGTCTCAAAATCATAAAAACTAGTGGAAATGAATAAAGAAATACAGCTATGATGAGCTCGTGCAGAACGAGAAATATTATAAGGAAGCAATTCATTAAGAATATGAGAGATGATCAACATAGCTGGCTTCATTATTTCTTTTGGATGAATCATAACTGGGTTCAATGGCATTTTAGTCCCTCTACTTTGCTGCTTGAACAGACGCGTACCATAATAGTATGTTTGATCAACATGTCATTGTACTGTCATTTAACGAGTATAAATTTCATCTAAAGAAGTTACAGCTCAAATCAACTCATGTTTAGTAAGCACGTCTGAATGGCTTGCATAACATATTTATTCACTAAATTTAATTTTTAGAGCTAAAGTTCGGAGTACATGGATGTATTTGTTAAAATCACATAGTAAATGGACTAAATATCACACTAACTCAAGAGTAGACTAACAAAATTGATACTACTGACACTCGACATAATGAAGGTATACAATGAAATGCATAATGTACTTTGTTGATTATCTACATTGCACATGTAAGTGTAAGAAATGCAACCACATGTCATTATCTTCTACTAAATAATGGAGCTATTGGCCATGAAGGGAAAGAGCATTAAACAATTGGAATGAAATTTTACTGCTACCACTTGGCATAACTCTAGGCGATGGATTCTGGAACACAGTTGGCGCGGGAGACTTTTCACTAATAAAAGCCCATCCCTCTAGGCTCTAACGTGGAATCGGTGTTCAGAAATCTTACTTGTTACCCTAAGAAGAAACAACGCCAAAGCATCCTGCGCTGTCCAGTGACCAACTTAATTTCATATCTTGGAAAGATATTTCCGAGATTCAATGAGAATCAAAGTCAACTGCAGAATACTGACATGGTAGAGAAGCCTGTCATCTCTGTAATGCAATGGGTAATTTTGAGGACATGGGTGGGTCAGTGTCAAAAACGACTAGTGAGATGTACCTTTTAAAAAAAAAAAGATGCTTTCTGTGACAGTGGAACGTTAATGGTTGTAGAGCAAGGAAGAGGTGAGGTTCAGCTTCTAATGAATTTGGTGGAGTTTCCTGCAATCTATAAAGAGACTTTTGACGACATTGACCAAGGCTACTTGTTTTACATCAGGAAGCACGTTCGTAAATGTTTGATTTCTGCAGACAAATCTCAGATGCATGATAAAACTGAGCAGACGGGTAGAAGGAAACCAACTCACCTTATTGAGCAATGGAGTCTTCACCTTATTGCCAAAAGAACAGTGGAGTTTTCACTTCCTGCCTCACCAAATGCTCCAAACACGCACAGGCCTTTAAATCGCCTGCAGGAGAAATATTGAATGAAAGAGGGAAAAGAAAAAAAGGAGAAAGCAACCCAGAAGACAGAAGCATGACTAGCATAACAAAATGCTCGACATGTGAAAAGCAAAGTATTAGAACATCACATTTAGAACACCAACAACCTGTGATTGGAACCCATTTGCTTGAATTCAATGGAGGCGAGAGGAAGTGACTGCCATCTAAGGAAACTGAACAAAACGGTTAAATTGAGCCAAAGCAATAAGAAAAACAGTGAGTACTGAGGAGGAAACAAGCAAAATGAAGCAATCAAGTAAGCATGCAGGGCCTGAACGAAAGATGGAAACCCAATCATCTAATGCAACAGAAACTACTTCTATCATACTAATTGCTTTTAGGTTTGCACCATACAAGAAACTACACCGAGTAATTTCATTGGTTCCTTAACAAGGAGCAGCATGGCAAAAGGCTGAGCAAAGCCTAGTACAGTGTCATGTGAAAACTAAATGTGAGGAACACTCTAGCTACTTCAGTTCTATCACGGAGCTTTCGAGCTTTATTTAAAACACCCCAACTGGAAATACTAACATTATTTGGTTGAACATCTTGGTAAAGGAATCATACTGCCACAACAATGACATAAAAAGTATTAGGAAAGACAGAAACCGGCTTCAAACGAATCATAACTCCTCAAGCAGAAATGCTTTTAGTGATTCCACGATCTATCACCCCTGACTCTTAAGTTGGAAGTAGTACGCTCATATGAAGGAACCAGCACCACTTCTGTTTTTAAGTTGAATGTCCATGTTTCTGAGGTTTATCATCTTCACTATCTCTTAAGCTGATCAGTAAACTTTGTTTACAGTTTCTGCATATCTTCATCATTAATCCAGTGACTGCCATAGGATTATAGCTGACCCAAATACTCCTCCCTCATCTGGGGAATGAGATGACACGCTCTCTTGCATTGCCATCCTTCACATGCTTGAAACATGGTAAGCATAGATAACAGGAAAAACCCCTGCGGATTCGGTCTGGCCTTCTCATAATCAAAGTCATCTTCTTGTGGAATCAATCTTCTCATGAAAGCAGGAAGATTAAGGACACACCGCCCAAAAGGGTATTGCCCAAAGTTAGTAGCTGAGTGCTGCTCCGATGCAGTGCAGATCACAGTAGTAAGTATGACAGGCAATTCCTCTTTTCTGTGGTGTTTAGGCGCCCAACACTCATTTCTTTTAACCGCATGACCTGTATAGCATCCCGCCAATTTTGCAGCTCAAAATCAGATTTGGCAGAATGGACCCGTTGTTTGATAGCTGACCAGATCAAGAGCCCATCTGATGATGCAAAAGGGTTGTCTTCCATTGCATGTCTCATGCCACATGGCATAGAAGGATCTTCCATGTCCATGCCCCTGATAAATTTTGATCAACAATGACAACAACCCTCATTTTTCTGCAGTTTCTCTCTGATACACAGGCAAAGAAGACCCACATCAAACCGCCACGTAGCCTTGTAGGCTGCAAAGCTCAACTCTAAAGCATATTAACCAGGGCATAGCCCTGAGTATTCCTCCTTCACTGATCAAGTATTGTCGTGCAAAGGCATTGACTGCTAGCGTGAAAACCCATACGGGAATAGAGCAACTGTAGATGGGATACAGTATGCTGTCTGTGCATCGCAATTATGTAAAGGCTCCATGCGGGCATGAGTCCTCGGACAGTAGAAATTTTCTAGAATCCAGCACAGCAGAAATTTTATAGTTTACCAAATAACACTTCAATCTATTGTCAAGCCCTCGAGCCCGGAGAAGCTCGCAGAAGGTAGCATCCCCAGCTGCCAGGAAATCGCATATCGCTGGGATCACATCGTGGAGAACAGCTCCCAGCTGCGACGCATCTTAACCTCCCCGAAAGCTTTGTCCCGACGCACAGATTCTGCTCACGCAGCCTTCGTCTGAACATGAAGGGGGGAAATTCAAACAGAGAACACTAATTATAAATTCATTGAGTGGAAACACAACTGGGAGAAATGTAAAGGAACTTGGAGGTCGACCAGGTCTGCAGCGCCTTGGAAAATGGACTTCATGGCTGCCGCCGTCCGCCGATAATCGTTGTGAAGAGCGTAGTCGTAGATTCTCAATTTTGACTTTTGAGGCTCGCCGTCGGGAAATTTGACCGCCAGTGCAATTGAAGTAAGATAATATATATATATATATACTTTTTTCATTATATTTTTAGTCCCAATACTATATTGTGTCAACATTCAACAACAAGTCATCATACTATAAAATTGTAACATAAATTATTGATTTTTTTAACATAGTATCATCATGTCTCTTATCCAATTCTAATTCATATGTTAAAAGAAAATTTTCACTTGCAAATGGTACAATCTACTAACTTTAGATGATTGCTAGCCCACAAGTCGAGCCTCTACGAGGACTACGGTAATAATTCTTGTCTATGATCTACTTATGTTGAGAAAACCAGTAGCCACATGTATTACGTAGATTTTCAATGCCAAAAATGAAAACGAATAAGGTTGAGTTATTTGAGAGACAATAAGATGAAAATGTGAATTTGGTTGAGACAAATGAGATAGTTTTTGTCATTAATGGAATATGACCTATTGAGATTTGCAAACATAGGTATGGACAAATACGAAGATATCACCATTATTAATTAATTAATTAATAATTATAATAATATATAATAATAATAAATCACAAGTAGACTGCACTGTTGCATACGATTTTTTCTCCTATATTCACTATTCATTATGGGATTGTATATTGTACGTAGGATGGCAATTTCGACCTGACCCCTGTTACCCGACCTGTTTCGGGGCAGGTCCGACCCGCCCCGTAGGCGAGGCGGGGCGGGCATGGGTAGTCTCATCAACCCGACCTGCCCTGACCCGCCCCATTCTCGACCCGTTCTTGTCTAATTTACATGTAATCTTAGTCAAATTACTTAGGATTTTCCTTTTATTGCATCATATTTTAGCTATAAGAAAGTTGTAAATTAGTAAAACCCTCAATTTCTCCAATAATTTAACTGCAATTGTCATAATATTGTTTGTTTTCTTAGTCTTATAATAAAAATAACGAATATTTCTAATGTTTTTAATATAAATTGCATATCCATTGGGTCGACCTGCCCCGACCCGCGACCCGTGATCAATTACCCGACCTGGACCCGACCTGCCACGGGACGGGTCTGGGTACCAAAAAACCCGCCCCGGACCTGCCCATTGCCATTCCTAATTGTACGGCCGGTTTTATTGTCATAACCTCATTCAATTAATTTTCCTCCCTAAGTATCACACGGATGCTTGCCAAACTTTTCCAGTTCTTATATTTTTTTTCCCTTTTGTTTAATTTTACAAAGAAGGTTTTCATTCATTATAACTTGAAAGTTATAAAATGCGTCAAGTAATGATTACAGAACGACACTTATTTTTAACGTAATAGTTATATTAGACATGTTACGTTTTCGCAACGATTTGGCACTTTATGCAATATGATGTTATGATATGTGAAAAGACCATCAGTAACGTAAGACTCATTTTACAACTACTATGTAAGATCTAAATACATTACGTAAAGGTTACAAAATTTAACAATAATCAATGTCATAGTTTAAGTTGATTAAGACACTATGAAAGTATATCACTTAAACTATCTATTGTGTATTATAAGTTTGAAAGAAAGCTTAAACTAAGTATTATGTATCAAAAGTTTGAAAGATATTTTTTATTATTAACTAATTTGTTGAACATCTCATCAATTTACATTACACAAAGGTTATGTAAGGTCGGCTATTTTTAACGTCATATTTTAATCAAATGTGAACTTTTCTTAACTTAAATTCTTTATCATTGACTAAAAGTATCCATTATCTAATTTGCATCAAGGTGATGTTATTATTAGACCACATGTTATGGATTGATTATGTATCACCGTTCAATAACAGTCATGTAAATTACAAATCCATTCCGTACAAATTATGGACGACTAATTATTTCTTATTTATAAATTAGAAATGTATTATTTAGGTCTACTGTGATGATTAAGACACTACATAAATGTTCTTGAGAGATAGTTATTTCTTATGTATCACTTAAACAATCATATCATGTAAGTCTTCTCTATCATAAGTTTGAGCAAAAATTTCTATTATTAACTAAACTATTGATCATCTCATCAATTTAGATTACACAAAGGTTTTGTAAGGTGAGTTATTTTTTAGTCCCATTTTAATACTTTTTTCACTCAACTCCGTTATTATTAACTAAAATATCCACTATCTCATCAATTTGCGTTACACAAGGTTCCATAATGACAAGTAACTTTTACATACACACTTTTATGAAATGTGATATCTTTAGTAATTTGATTTATTATTAGATCACACATTACAATTATGTAATATCTTTACAACAGATTTATATAATATTGTTCAATTATGTAAACTTATGGAGGGATAATAATTTTAGACTTTGGGTGCTTGAGTTAATTATTAAAACACACAAATTACATATTTATGTAACACTGTTCTAGAACAATTACTTGAGTTATAAATTCATAACATAAATATAATGGAGTGATGATTTTCTTATGTATCAATTAAATAAACATATTATATAATTGTATATTAATAATTAACACACACTTAAAACTTATAGAAGTATAGTCAATCAAACAAATACGATACTTTTGTAACTGAATTCCTTTACTATGAACTAAACTATTAATCATCGAGGAATTTTACAATGCTATATAGCATGTGTGCTATAAGTTTTTACCTTTATGGTACAACTTAAAATTGTACCTTTAATGTTATGGTACAACTTCAGACTTCTATATAACAGTTAATCAAATGTGATACCTTTCATGACTTTATTCTTTTAGTAGACCATTACGAAAGATTAATGTAACACCTTTCTATAACAGTTACATAAATTATGAATACATTGCTTAAAACTTATGAATTGGGATAGATATTTCATATGTATGGTTATTAAACAAATATATTACGTACTTTTTCATAACTACTAATTAGACACTACGTATTTTTTTATGGAGGGATAGTTAGTTTCTATGTATCTATTAAACAAGTGTTTTGCATATATGTTCATAACGACTAGCCGAATGGTTATGTAATTATTATTTTCAACAAAATCACCAGGAATGAATTTTAAAATAAAATTAGTTTCTTTCCGCCGCGAAGCGCGGGCCAATAAACTAGTGATTTTATTAATCATTAGGAACTTAGGTCCTTGCTTAATTTCACAAATTAAAGGGGGGAAGTAGATGTAAGTTAACAAACGTACCCCTTAATAGCATTATATGCCTTCTATTATTGCAAGTTAACAAACATACCCCTATACTATTTTTTGGCACAAATATGCCCTCCTATTATCGAAACGTAACAACCAAATCCTTCTGTCAAGATTCCCGTTAACTAGTCGTTAAATGTGACGTAAAGTGACTAATTTGCCCTCGTTATAATTTTGATTTGATTTTCATAATTTTAAAAGTAACAACAACTATTCATTTATTCCTAAGTAATTACTTTGTTTTCGGGAAAGTCTCCGACCTTCTTATCCCTAAATCCCAACAGAAGAGCGGCCACTCCGGCAAAGGCGAGCCAAGGTTCAGCTGCATGCGGTCGTCGTCCATCCTCCACCTTGGAACTCAGAGTAAGCGCAAGACGGTGGGTCATCCGAACAACCCACAAGTCAGTCCCCAATCAAAAGCCCGCCCAAAAGTTTACCCAGCACCCAGATCTGTACATCATCTGCCACACAAATCTCAGAGCATATAGAAGTACCCCAACCACCAATTTCCTTCCTCTTCACAAAACTCAACCCACCGCCGATTAATTAGCATCTTTGGCAATTCTCATGGGACCAATGAATCGAAGGAACAAATATATTGAAAGTGATTATCATTTAATGCAATTTCTAGGTTCACAATAATTAGGGTTTTCAAAATGAAATTTGGGTTCGCGGCCGAGAAGATGGGTCGGAGAAGAAGGATCTCTCTTCGCCTAATTGGAGAGGCAATTAGCGGAGCAGGTAGAATCTGGTACAGTCATTAGTCATTACCACCCACCGAAATCTCCGACCTTGAAATCTGTAACTGGTTTGTGCTCATTGTTGACACCCGCCGAAGTCTGCTCCTACCTCCGCCGAGGAACAATTGAGTGCCAGTGGAGTAGCGGCGTCGGAAGGAAAGCTGTGAAGTGGAGGATTAGTTGGGGTCAGTGTCGTCGAAGCTGATGATGAACGACGGTGAGCAGGGTGAATGAAGAAGAGGAGATGCTCAATAGTCAAAGGGAAGGATAAGAATTACGGATTTACTTTTAAAATTATAAAAATTAAACCAAAATTATAATGAGGGCAAATTAGTCATTTTACATCACATTTAACGGTTAGTTAACGGCATATTTGACAGAAGGATATGGTTGTTACATTTCGATAATAAAAGGGCATATTTGTGCAAAAAAATAGTGTAGGGGTATGTTTGTTAATTTGCAATAGTAATAGAGCATAAAATGCTATTAACCTATGTTACTGATAATCGGCTTTAACATATTGAATTCTTGGACTTTATGTGATTATCCGTGGTATGTTTTAGCCAATTGGTACTATTTTAGGGCTCGCTAACCCGAGAATGGTTGAAAAACCATTACTGCCTAGTACCATGAGTTTGATATATTACAGGTGAAGAAAACACGAAAAAGAAGTTGCACCGGCAAACAATTCTCGAATGCTGGGCTTAAAGCCCAGCTGGACGGGGACACATAATCATGGGCCTGGGGACTATTTTGTGGACGGAAGCAAATTCTTCTCTGGTGTGGGTTTTTGGTGGCGGAATTAAAGCAAAAGGGGGAACGGGACACGCAATTGAGGGGGTCAATTTTTGGAATTAATTGGACACAAGGTGGGAGTTTGGGGGGACGTGATCTTTCTTTGGAAAAAAAAAAGAAAAAGAAAAGGAGAATTCTGGGCGGAAATTGAATCTGATTTTGGGAGGCGGTTATTAGTTTTTTGGGACGAGGGCTCTTAGGCAAAAAGGCCGCAGCGCGCAGCAGAGAGGGACGAGCAACCATCAGCAACGAGCAGTTTTTTCCAAGCGGCTAGAGCTGAGTTCAACGAGAGCGATTATT